GACACGTAGAATTAGGGGATCGGGTGTCACGAACCGACACGTAGAACTAGGAGATCGGAGTGTCACGTTCCGACACATAGTAGTAGGGGAGCGGAGTGTCACGTACCGACACAAGAATAAAGGTGATGAATCTGATGAATCTTGAAAGATGTTAATATACTCAATCTAATGAACCTAATTCCCAAATGAGTTTGGTATTGAGGCTTGAGTCCTCATGTGTGAACTTGGCGGTACTTATTAACGATCATAGTACTTGTTGTTGATACATGTTGAGTAATGCAGTTGATTTTATATTATTACTTGATATATATTGTTTTCTATTTTGAGTTGGCCGATGATATCTACTCAGTACCTGTGTTTTGTACTGACCCCTACTTGTATGTTTCTTTTTGTTAAATTGGGGAGTGCAGCAAACGTGCCGTCGTCTTCAACTCAACCGCAACTCTAGCCAGTCTTCATTACACCGAATTTCAGGGTGAGCTAATGCTTCTAGCTTGGACTGGATCTTCCTTTTCATGTCTTGATGCCTTGAACTTCCGGCATGAACTAGCTTTTTACTTATTTTAGCTTCTTCGATACTCTTAGATTAGTAATTTGAGGATATATGTTCTTGTGATGATGACTTCCAGATTTTGGGGATAATAATAAGTGTTTGAGTTTTTAGAAGTTATTTGATTTATTTTGTTAATGAGTTTGAAGTCTTCTGCAATGTATTTAGTTCATTATGTTTGAAATGATGGGGTTTAGATTGGTTGGTTCGCTCACATAGGAGGATAAATGTGGGTGCCACTCGCGGCTCTGTTTTGGGTCGTGACAAATTTATTAGAACAAAAATATTAGTGAGAAAATTAATGAATTTTTTTTTATTTATCATATAGGCACTCAAATACATAGCTTATTGATAATAGATTGGTTATTTATGATTTAATATATATGATACATTACAAAATGTATATGATACAATTAAACATAGATATGTGTATATCAAATATAACTTTTACATACAAATCATAACAATTTCTTGAACTGAACCAACAAAAGTCATAAATAATTGTAACAAAAATAAAATTAAACACACAAATCATAACATATTCTAAAATAGAACAATAGAACTCTTAAATAGAATCAAAAAATTAAAATTAACAGTAAACTTCATTTATGAGAAATATAAAAGCGACAATCGATTACGTCAAAAATTATTCATAAAAGCATGAATTTTTTATAAAAATAACGATTTCACTTTTTTTGAAAAGAAGTACATGTTTTTTGTTGTGACATTCTTGTCCACTATGTCCATAACTATTTGTGTTTACTTTTATCTTTTCATCTGCATTTTTTCCTTCTTTTTCTTGGTCATCCAACCAATCTTTTGTATCTAAGTGGATACATAGTGTCATCTACAACATTCCTAGGAATCGACCAAATTTCTTTATCTAACATTGAACCGCATAGATTTTTGCTACTGCATCAGACTTATAGTAATCAGAGCAATAATAACGCATATATGTAACATTCTTGTCCTTTGAAACGACAATTGAACGTGTGCAAGGAATATCATCTATTTTAATTTTTGCAACAAGTACTTTCTTTCGTCTCAAGACAAACAATGTATCTTTTTCGAGCTTAATAAATTCAGATGATGAAACAAGCTGCGGACATTAAAAAGTAAGCCATAAATTTAGTTCAAAACAATGCATACAAAAAAATATGATACACCAAACAAGATGCATAGATATATATAACTATTTATAATGATACATACCTTCATCTGCGAACATTTAAATGTGTTTAGAATCAATACCTTCTCAAATCTTCTCCTCATTGTGTCTTTTGTATAAGAAGCTATTTTCCAAAGTTGAAGTTGTGTTTAGAATCAATACCTTCTCAAATCAATACATTCAAATACATTAATTCACAATATAGATAAAAAAAATCTTAAACCTTTGTTCATAAGATCGTTTTACTTTGCAATTGAAGTTGTACTTTAGTTTATATTTCACCATCACATTTATCAGTGTTGCCTTATCCTTATACAATTCATTTGTCTTGAATCAATTATGAATTTGTAAATTCTAATTCTGAAATATAATATGAATCACAAAGTCTTGATTCAACCACAAGAACTTTTGAATCACATGTTGTACCTTCGACACACGTAATTTCTCCGCAAATTCCATCAAAGTTATGTATATCACCGCTAATCTTATCCATTGTATCAATACATAATGGGTATATTGCACATTTGGACTCAATTTTTTTCACCTCTAAACATAACCTAACACTCATGTCAATCGTAATTTTCATCCGAGATGAATTACCTTCCACGATGTATTGACTTTTAATGGTTTTCCTTCCCTCGTCTATCTCTAACTCGTCTGAATTGGTTGCTTTGAGATTCAAAAATGAAATTGATTGTCCAACAATAATTTCGTCACTTTTGTAACCTTCATAATTCACTTTGCTCGCCCAAATTCCTGAATGTCTAAATGTATCTAGTTTTTTTTGAAAAAAATTATCAATTTTTAGATAATAATGGATGTTCAAAAATATTCTTCAATGAAGAACGAACATATAATTTTGAAATTTCAAATTGGTGAATCTGTTTCCTATTAGGATATGGACTTATTAGGATTAGCTAAGCGTTAATCAAGGAAACTTATATCACAACATTTAATTTACATTATTCTCTCTCTTTTAGTGCAATAACAATCTGTTTATTGTGTATCACAGATATAATGTATCCTGATGATCACTATGTATCCGGCTGCCTCTCTTTTTAAGAAATTTTGTAATATTAAAATTATTAGGGATAGTATGTAATTTAGATCTTAGGATTCCTTTAATTTATACTTACTTTTTAATTGCTCCATTGATTAAGTATTTCGGTTACAATTAATTAACCACATTAAACATTTCAATTACAATCAATTAATATCACATACTTTTCATGTATCTCGCTAAATATACATCAAATACAATAGCTAAACACATGTATCTACCACCTAACTATCAATAAAAAATATAATATTAAAAACGGATTTATGTAAATTGTATTTAACCACATACAAATAAAAATAATTAATTTTACAAAATATTGATGACCCATAAATCAAATTTGAATGGGTGAATCCTTATATGCAGTGGGCCAATGGATGATCTACTTAATTAAGTCATAAAGTGAAGCCATAGGCGGGTCCAAGAAGCTAGTATTGTTATCCCACACAACTTTTTAAGTTTGCTAAATTGACGGATTCTGAGGTCCCTCATTTTTAGCCTTAAAGCCTATCCATGGCCATAGGCCATCTTCTTTTTTTCTCCAATCAACAATACAACAACTTGTCCTTTCCCTTTATATTCATCCCCTAAACAAACCTATCAAATAGGAGTGGACATGATATATAGGGTAGACATTGAATTATGAATATCATATTGAAACTAAAATCTATTATATAATGGTTTGAATAATATGATATTTAGTATTTACGATGAATTTTTTAAAAATTTAATATAATTTGTTGTAAATTGTATTTATAATAATACATGTTTGAAATATCAAATGTCATATCGAAGTATATAGTGAAAAAGAAAAATACATGCCTTTCTTTTGCTGGAAATTTCACTCATATCAACCTAGGCCTAGCTAGTCGGATGCACTAGTATTATAATTGACGAATGCTGAATTTACAGATTCGATTAAAAATTTTATGTGAATTCAAACGTTTTTATTTAAATCTTATGACAGTATAAAATATACTTATAGTATCCTATTAATTAATCAAAAGACACTGGATATTGAATTGATAACCTAAAAGATAAGTTGTATGAAATCTGGTAATATATAAATTAGACAACTAATAATATAGTGAAAGATATTTCCGCCATGATCGATTGATGGAAATGTTACTTTCTAGTCTCTCCATTTCGAATAAAATGAGCCTTATATTTTTAATTTTCTTCATTATATATATAAGGTGATAAAATTAAAAGATATTACAATATATATAATAGTATAATTTAAATTTAAAATTAAAAAATTGATATTTTTTAAACGCTATATCAAATTAAATTAAGTCTTTATATTTTAAAGGACATTTAGTATTAAAGTGTATAGTTATTTTATCCTAAAATACAAATTGTTATAAAAAGTACATATAAATTAATGTGTGATTAATATATTCATGTTTTTGTTGGAAAAAAATTGAAATGCTGTTCAAAAACTTTTTCCTCAAAATAAATGCATGATGTCCCTACTGACAACATGCTCTCCATATTTCTTTATTTCTCCTAGACAGCACTGGCAATTGTCCCTAACTTGAGATGTTTTTTAAAAGATATATCTAGAGCAAAATATCTTCAAATGTGCATATTCAAATAACGTAGGTATTAGAAAATAAAGTTATTTATAATACTAAAAAAATTGGAAATGAAAAATTTACTGATCAAGTGCATTAGGCCCAGTACAATAATTCACAACATGATTCCACACCCACTGAACCAAAAACTTTCTTCTTATTCCATTCATATTGTACGTTGCACCATCTTCACCGTTCAACATTTGCCCAGTATACGACCCACCACCACCCGACCCATATATCCCTTCACAAAGATCCCCTATCTCCACCGGAAAAATTGGATCGTCACCTGCATACCAAGCATTCACCAACGGATTCGTGGATAACTCAGCAATTTCATGAGCAATCACACTAATCATTCCGTCAACACCCACATCGTTATTCGGCGATTTCACAGCTTTGAAACCCCGACCCATGTAATCGGGTACGGAAAACGGGTATGCACAAACACTGGGGCATAGTTTGCCGGAGTTACCTACCCATGCGTATGGTAAGGTGTAACCCACAATGGAAGGGAAAGTGAAATAGTGAAATCCACAAACGTCTTGACAGAAATTTTCGACATAAACATCATCACATGTGAGTAGTAAATACACACCGCTTTTGGAATTTATCGGTAAAGGGGGAGTGGTACTGGCTGTGACGGCAGATTTTATAACAGACTGAATCGATAAACGGGTTAACGATTTGCCATGAGAGTAAGACCGATCGGTTTTTTCAGCTCCGATGTGTACATTACCGGAGATGTTGGCTCCGGTTTGGTCGGTGTAACTCTGGACTGTTTTCCACCAACCGGAAACTGACGGCGGTTTGGAATCGACGGCGGAGATTGAGTTGATGAACTCCCGGATAATTCTTTTCTGGGATTTGCTCCATCGGCCGTACCAAATGGGGTAAACGGTGATGTTGGCAGTGAGAACAGGGCCCATGTGGTATTTTAACTTAATTAAGTCCGATGAGCCTTCATACTTTTTGGATGGGCTGTACAATAAATCGGTGGTGTTGGGCTTTTGGTTGGGCCATGGACGCCACCCATTAACTGGGGAAGTTAATAAGAGTAGACAAATTCCGGCGAGAAGATAGAAAGTCGCCGGGAAATATGTTCGGTGACACTGGTCCATGTTCATGTGTAGTCGTAGTTGGTGTTGTGACTGTGAGAGTGGAGTGAAGCCTGAAGGGTGTATTTATTTGCATGAAAAGATGTGAATAAATATTCAAATTATTCAAAAATCGTTCAAAAAAATAAAATCATACTTAAAAGGGTCGGTTTGGCGATACCATATAAAATCACGATATGATATTATAATATAAAATTATAAAATAAAATTAATTTTTTTTGAATATATGATATGAAATTTTTGTGTTATTATATTTTTTTAAACATAAAAATCATATAAATTGTAAAAATACCTTCAATTATTTATTCAATCTTAACAAATAAATTATTAAACACAATTTATTGTCAGAAATTGAATTTGAATTCTTTAATTAAGCTCATAAAAAGCACCACATCACCATTTTCATTTTCACCTTTATTATTTTGTCTCATTTTATATGATAACATTTAAAATCGAACACAAAATTTAAGAAATAATGAAAACTTTGAAACATTCATTAAATTATCTTAAAAATAAATTTATTTCTCTCTCTTAATAAATATATTATAGTACTATATTTAAAATTAAGTGGGACCAATAAAAATAAAAAGAAAATTAAACTTTTAAATATTTACCATATAAAAAAATATAATATTCATTTTGAGACTATCCCAAAAAAAACACAATATCATATAAAATAAAACTGAAAAATATATTGTATATAAATTTTATCTTTATCATATCATATTCTATTTTGTGAGATTAAATATCCATATTAACTGCTAACTTGTTGCAGGGTGATAACGGAAAACACGTGTTTTCTTTAAAATGTAGTTGGAGAAGTGGGGTGGGCCTGCCTAAGAAAGGGATGGGAGCCAGAATGAGTGAGTGTGACCATACCATCGATTATGGAGTTAGAAATTCAACGAAGTAAATTTTTTATACGTTTAATTCAACTTGTATACACTATATAATTTTGAATAAAAAATGTATATCAAATCATTTTTCAGCTGATATGACTGCTGGTAATTTGAACTGATCATGTCCGATGAGTCACTAACTTTGGTCTGTGTTGCCATAGATATATGTTTTTAAATTTTTGTTTTAGTATGAATTTTGGTTAAAAGCAAGAGTACAATTTAGAAAAATCAAGAACCTATTGATTTCTTTTTTTTTCTCCTTCAAATCTATGCTTGCTTTAACATATTAACAAGTTTTTAATGTGGTTTGTTTATTCATACTAAAGAGAGATAAAACAATATTTTCGTCAAATTAGCTCTAGTGATTACAATGAGGGATATTAGCACTATTTGATCTATCTTTAGATTTATTTTTCTTTATTATGTGTTATTAGGTTACTCAAAATTGATTCATGCTAAAGAGAGATAAAATAATAATTTCTTCAAATAGCTCTTGTGATTACAATGAAAGATAAGAAGTCTATTTATTTTGGACATGTCAATAATTTGTTGTTTATTAACTCACTTCAAATTAATAACAAGTCAATAATTTATCTATTTACTAATTCAACCTAATTTAATCCATTCAAATTTATTTCAAATTATCTTACAGTTTTACAAATGAGATGATGAACATGCAATTTTGAAAAATGAAATTCGAAGTACTAAAACTTCGATTCCAGCGTCAATCTTCTTTTGTTGATTTCTCCAAGTTTTTTCGAGAAAAACAATCCCCAAGATTACGATTCTGTAACATACGACCTACTCCTCTTTTCCTCATACTTTTATTATTATTTATTTTAAAATAAGAAAGCATCAGATTTAAAGTAAAATTAAGACTATAATTAACACCAAAAGGGTATAGCTCACAAATGCTTTATCGACACTCTTTATCTGAAGAAACGATGCATAATTTTCCTTCAAACAAAAGGTTATATTCTAGGTATTCTTAGTTTAAAATAATAAGAGTAAGAAATTTAAATTTCACGTCAAGTCAGCATATCAACGATTCATCATTTATTCATTAAATTATACAAACCTTCTACTTCATGTAATGTACACGGATCTACAATAACTTGAGCCAATTATGATTTTTTTTATCTATCACCATAAGATCGTTTTCGGTCAATATTGTGTTGGTAATGTTAATACAAAGATAATTAGTTTATATTGGGGCTTTAATATATTTTATGCTCGTATAGTACATGATGACTTGTTAAATTTGGTAACGAAATATATATAGCTATCCTTAGTGATAATCCAAAAAAAATCTGGTGTTAGTTAGACAGTTCACTCCCTACTCTTACTACATTTCACTAAGGTCAGAAAATTGATATGATTTTCTTGTTGTACTATACGTTACCATGTTCATTCCACTACCTTAAACAAACATGCCCTACCATTGGGAACTCAGATTCCAAATCAACATATCTTCCCACTTCCCAAAAATAAATATATTCTTCCACTTGTTGTGAACCATGATGACTCGGTCTATGAGCTACATGTGGTAAATAAGATTGATCCAATTGGTTTTATTGGACCGAATGAAATGTTGAGGAGTTTTATTTGTGACTCAGATCCAATAAATTATGGTTAAAAGGGACTAGGGATTACAAAGAACGGTTATGAATATTAATATATTATGTTGAAGCCTTGATTATCAATTATCTCTCATCCCTTTTTAGTTACCTTATTGTATGTTAATCTCTCCTTATTTAGTGTGCTATTACTTTGTTGCAGGGGCAGATCTACCCTAGAGCAAGCGGGTTGAACGACACGCCTTCATCAGAAAATTACATTATGAATACATATCTTGATATAAATTAAGGTTTAGTTTAGTGGTTAAGGTGTTCCAAAGTTGTGTATTGTACTCTTGATAGTAGCATTTATATTTTACTTTATATTTTGACAGTCCTGAATAAAAATTCTGGCTCCGCTGTTTGTCTGTTGTGTTGTGCGTATTTTACATTGTTATAACTTAGTATTCCACGAATCAGTGTTTGTGTTAGAAATGCCATCATTTAAATATAGGACAAAATCAGTAGTTTGAAAGCAGTTTTAAAACTCATTAGGCAGGACATTGGTAAAATTCGTTGAGGTTATGTGATGCTTACACTCTAAATACGCCTAATGTTTAATGTTCGAAGCTTACCTAAAAGTTCTTACGTAAATTACTATTTTATTATACTATATATTTAATAATTAAAAATCGATAAAGGTGTAGTATGCCTCGTTCCGTGATAAGTAAAATGTTGCATCTTTTAATACACCGAGACAGATAGACTTAAAAATAAGAAAGAAAAAAGTTGCTAAGTTTCAATTTCACTTGCCTATTTTGTACTATATTGTGGCCAAGAAAATAATTAGCAGGGACCAATATGCAACTTCTACAAAAGCATTTATACATTTGACGTATCATGCAGTTGGACTGTCACTCGTGGTGGTCCAACTCTAAACACAAATTCCCATCCTCCCCATTTACGCCGTCTTTATTATATACGTTGTTCATTTTTTAGAAATAAATGGAAGCTTAATTAGTACTTCCTTCGTCTTATTTTATGTGACAATATTTAATTCGGTATTGAATTTAAGAAATATATGAAGACTTTAAATTGTTTATCAATTGTCCTTCAATAGTGGACTCACTTTTTTCTCTCCTCATAAATGTATTAAAGTATTATATAAAATTAAGTGGGACTAACAAGAATAAAAGAAAAATTGTACCTTTAAATACTTACCATGTAAGGAAATGTGACATTTTTTTTGGGACTGACCAAAAAGGAAATGATATCACATAAAATGGAACGAAGGAAATATTATTTAAAGTTAAATTATTTTTAAATGCGAAAAAGTGCATATGCCAATTATTTTAGATATATATATATATATATATATATATATAATGAAAATGGAACAATAAGTTAAAGGCTTGGGCAACAACATAAAACATAGACGTAGCGTTGGAAAGGGCAGATATTGTCATAAGTACCCTTAAATTATCTGAAGTGGCTCATATATACCCTTAAACTATATTTCAGCTCAAAACTATTCTTCCCGTCAACAAAAGTGTCCTTATTAACGGAAGTTGTTAAATGCCATGTGGACACCACATAGCACGCCAATAAAGTTCCATTGTCACATAGGCAAAAAGGAAAAGGGTCAAAAGTACCCTTAAACTATCCGAAATAGCTCATATATACCCTTAAACTATATTTTGACTCAAAACTACCCTTCTCGTCAAATTATTGGGTAAAAAATGACCTTCTTATTAACGATATTTGTTAAATGGATGCCACATTGCACGCCATTAGGGTTCCATTGCCATATTAACTAAATCATTAAATCTTAATTATTTGTTTTTCCCTCGTTTCATTATTTTTCATAAAAGATTCTACCCTTCTCCCTCATTTTGCGGCTAGGGTTTCACAACTGTCTTTATCGCTGGGTTTGTAAGTGGATATTCGTGATTGTAGGTTAGTGTAACTTTTTTCTTCTTTTATTGTGTTTGCAACCACGAAAATTCACGTTGAAACTCAGCTCCGAAGAAAGTTATGAGAGCTTAGCCGCGTAATGAGGGGAAAGTTGTGAAATTCTAACTATCATATTTTGAAATCATAGACATAATAAAATAAGAAAAAATATTTACTAACCAACAACAATGAATATCCACTTTGAAACTCAGGCTCGAAGAAAGCTACGAAACCCTAGCCGCGAAATAAGGGGAAAGTTGTGAAATCCTAACTATCATGCTTTGAATCATAAACATAATAAAAAAAAAAAAAAATTTACTAACCTACAACCATGAATATCCACTTTGAAACCAGTCACGAAGAAAACTGTTAGACCCTAGCCGCGAAATAAGGGAGAACGAGTGTATTGTTTTGGGAAAATAATGAAATGAGAGGAGGGGCGGGGGGGGGGGGGGGGGGAGTGATTCGGATTTAGGGATTTAGTCTATGTGGATGTGGAACCTTATACACATGCAATGTGACATCCACATGGCATTTAACAACTTCCATTAATACGAATGATACTTTTGACCCAATAGTTTGACGGGAATGGTAGTTTTGAGCCAAAATATAGTTTAAAGGTACATATGAGCTATTTCGGATAGTTTAAGAGTATTTTTTATCCTTTTTTGGCATGTAGTGTGAC